TTTTGTTTGACTATTATTATTATATTATAAAAAATTATTATTTGTACAATAATTAACTACACATCTTGATAGATATTTTATGTTTTAAATTTAGGAATAATTTTGTACCAAAAATGTGTTTTTGTCTTCTCATCTTGGAAAATAGAGGTTTTTGCCAATTTGCTTGGCAAAAACCTGTTTTTTGCCAGGACGGTTTTTACCGGTAATTACCATGGTTTTTTCCACCTGCGGCAAAATCTTGCCAACCCTGATACAAAGATATACACTTTTACATAAATTCATTAAGTAACCTGTCTATGAAGTAATTTCAAATTGACAGCAAGATAAGAATTAAGCAAATTTAAAATAAGGAGAAAAAAAATGACCTTCATTATGAAGGAAACAGAAAGGATAATTCAAAATTATACATCACATTTGAAATTGATCTCTATCAAATTTGCAGAAACATTTGATATGATGTAACACAGGAGAACCTGTACCCTTAGACAAAGAAAAGAGATGATACACTGCTATTTTTTTTTTAAATTTAATGAGAAACAAAATTTATGCCATTAAACCAAGTTAGAAGCTTCTGGTATTATTTAAGTGCTAACAAGTTTTTCTGGAGAATGATAATTTTGGAAAAATATGTCCAGCACAATTTTAGGATGTTGGTGTAAGTATATACTATACAAAAAAATGTTTCAATTTTTCAGTCAGGAAGTTAAAGGATAAAACAGCAGGGTTGTTGTACAACAGTATAAATGATACTAGATAAATCCATAATATTGGCACATAGTTAAAAATAACAACAACATCAATTCAATATTAAAATATAGACTAACGACCATTACAGAGAAAAAAAATGTGACAAGTAAAAATTAACAGCATTATATTGTTTGATTTCAATGTCACATTAAGATTGTAAATCAAAAACAAACCTGATTCATTCCGGCATTAGCAAACAGCAAAGTGGGGTCATCATGTGGAATGACAGGTGACGAATGAACATATTTATGCTCATATTTCTTGATGAAAAAATCCAAAAATTGCTGGCGTATTTCCTTAGATGTCAATTGAGTATTCATATTGCCTGCAAACAATGAGAAACCTTACAAAAAAATACTTGTAAATACAACATTAAATTAACTAATGTAAAAGTTAGAAGTTAATCAACATAAATATGCAATTGATGAGTTAATGCTAACAATTTATTCCAATATAAGATGCAGAACTTTTAAATGAGGCGAAATTTATTAAATAGACTCAAAGCTATTTGAAAGTTGATGCAAAGATAAGTAATGATTAAATAATCTAGATTGTTGCATAAGATTGAGAAGAAAATAAGATTGCGAAATAAGTGATGAAATACAATTAATTTTTTCTATGTACATTCGGAAATCTTTATTGGTACCTTTATAAATGTATTTGGGTCAATAAAGAGATGACAAGTCCACTCATAACAACACGTTTTTCGGAAAAGAAACAAGTCAAAAAGAAACGAACACATTGCGCCGAAGTTGCTGAGTTGAGGCAAAAAGAAGTAACGAACACTTTGAATGAAAAGGGGAAGATTGCAACTGAACATATGTTACGCATGTGCGTTATGATTTCGACTGCTTACTGCATCACCTTGTAACTTCCCATTTCGTTAAAGAACCGTTATCATTGTATACGAGAAATTCACAAAGAGAAATTCGGAGTTGTAAATGTTAACTTAATATGCAATATATATTTACCCTCTAAAATTTCGCCATTTAGGCTCACTCTAATCTCAAAACTCACGTACGCAATTTTTCCACCCGCAGTGAGAAAGGCTCTTCAGGGAGCCTCATTCACACCGAATACTGTTGCCGCAGCTCCTTTAGCCGTCGGTAAAATATGGGAAACTGATATGAATGATGAAATATATTTTCCCTCTAAAAACAGTACCGCAATGGACTGATCGTTAAGACGCGGTTCCCAGCAGATCACCAAAATCAAGTATCACTGCCTGCGGTTAGTGTGCGGATGGGTGACTACTTGGATCAGTCTGCGTAGGGACTGAGGGTGTGCGGTATTGGTCCTCGTNAAGTTGATGCAATGATAGGTAATGATTAAATAATCTAAATTGTTGCATAAGATTGAGAAGAAAATAAGATTGCGAAATAAGTGATGAAATACAATTATTTTTTTTTTATGTACATACAGAAATCTTTATTGGTACCTTTATAAATGTATTTGGGTCAATAAAGAGATGACAAGTACACTTATAACAACACGTTTTACGGAAAAGAAACAAATCAAAAAGAAACGAACACATTGCGCCGAAGCTGTTGAGTTGAGGCAAAAAGAAGTAACGAACACTTTCAATGAAAAGGGGAAGATTGCAACTAAACAAATGTTACACAAGTGCGTTATGATTTTGATTGTTTAATGTATCACCCTGTTGTCATTTTGTGAAGGAACCGTTATCATTGTATACGAAAAATTCACAAAGAATTCGGAGATGTAAATGTCAACATAATATGCAACATATATTTACCCACGAAAAACACGCCCTAATCTCAAAATTCACATACGCGATTTTTCCACATACAGTGAGAAAAGCTCTTAAGGGAGCATTCACACCGAATGCGGTTAAAATATGAGAATGATGAAATATATTTTCCCTCTAAAAACTCACCTATCAGGTTTATCTTTTCTTTCGACGATGATCGGAGTTAAGCCAAAACTGTTTAGTTTTTAATGTGACTGATTACTGTGTGTGATTACTTCACGAGAACTTCTTTCCGTATGTTTAAGGAAAGATGAAACTCCTTCACCTGCTTCAGAACCGGTTTTTGTTTATATTTAAAGCAAGGAAAGTATTAAAAAAAATTGCCTGCAAATGGCAAATATTTACAGTTAGGCTTTAAGCTCGGTTTATAGTTAGTTCAACTACGTCACAAACAGTAGAATTAACTAGTTGTTCATTGTGGTGGCATGTCTTCGGATCATCCTCAGAAGTGTTTCCCAGACCGTAGAAAATGTCCAATGGGGCGCAACAGGGTAACGCAAGCAAAGTACTACTTATACTAACTGACGAAACTCGAGAAAGAAGGCCTATTGTATGTAAAAGTAATCAAGTTTAAAAATCGAACAAGACGAGACGAGATAGTTCAGACTTACATGGACAAGACGAGTTCTTATGCATTTGTATTAGTATGCGCACATAACCTTTATGCATTCTAATGCAAACAAGACGTCGGTGAGCATTTTATTTTAGTCGTAGCTCAAAATGCGTGCCAACGAAAATGGACACAGATCAAAATGGGTGTTTAAAAAATATGGACACAGCAGAATAAGTGTCTTTTCAATGTTTAACAGATACTGACTAAAGGGTCCAACATTTTCAGGTGACCTCTTCATGTTTAGTAAAAAAAAAAAAAAAAAAAAGGATTAAGTGGTTTTTAAAACTTGAAATTCATACAAAGTTAATTTATTACCACTGTCGTAAATTTATAGAATCTGTAACAATCTTGTGTAAGCAACTGTTGACTTTTTAAAATCTTTTTAAAAAAAAGATTATTTTTTTAAAAATGTACCAAGTGATGTGGCAAAGGGACATCTCAATACGAGTTTATTTGGATCCTTAAGCTTAGTCTTTAAACAGTAAAATTTTTTTTATAATATAAGTTTGAAATACGGATTCAAATACTGTGTTCATTTTTCTTAAATTGTTTTGCCCCTTTTCTTAAGCACACATTTCGAGCTGTAACCATTTCCTAAAACACGCATTTCTCACCTTATTTTAGAAAAAAATATATCGAATAATACACTATATCTTCAAGAAATTGTTTAAGAAAAATGAATAAATAAAAGAAAATTACCGAAAAATTATAATGGTGAGACAGGAGGACTCTTAAACGCTCCTGTTTTAACACATTTATTTAGCTGATATGGGATTAAATGTATTGTTTCATCGAACCAAATTATAATAATATAGCCCCATATTATTTCTTATATTAGATAAATAGGCTCCATTCCCCACCACTCTCCGTTCACATATATCCGTAATTGCTTTTCATTCAGCTTATTTTTTCCCCCTTATACGTCGTTATTGTTCAAGAAAACTTTAAGATCATAATGTTAATTAATCTATTAATAATGTAAGGAATAGTTTGTCTGTATGTTGCGTCGCTAAGTCCAAAATCATTTGTGGTACCGCTTTGAAACGGTGGCAAGGAACGGTTAGAACAACGGTGGCAAGGGGCAATTTTAGCCAAAAATCCTAAAAATGGTTTAAAGTTTCAATTAGCATCTTGGGGAGTGATGTTTAAAAAAATGAGTTTCTCTCATTAATTCAACATTGTTGAAAATTTAACTGTAGATGATTCTGATTTTCAAACGTCAAAAATATAATATCAGTGATATTTTTTAATTTAAAAAGAAGGAGTTTTATCGATTTTTTTTCGTCGTTTTGTCGGGTAAGTTCAATGATAAACGTAGATGGAATGTCAAGACAGTGTCAGCTATAGTTCTAAACTTTTTTGAAACCACATGTTTATTTTATTCGTAATGGAATACTTGCAAGTGACGTAGTGTGGATGTCTCGAGTCTGATCGGTCGTTGAAAAGTGGCATTTGTCTACGTTCAGGGGCGGATCTACTTAAGGGCTTTTTGGGCTGCAGCCCAGGGCCCCGTGGAAACAAAGGGCCCCAGTCCCCACTGAAAACAATAGGCGATATTTTGAATTAAAAAAATATCTAATATTTAAAAAAAATAATATTATAAGGTTGGCAACCCTGAGATCAATCATCCCATGCATGTGCGCGTCTATCGAACGGAACGGGGAATTACCCGTCGCTTGTTTTTGGTCAGTGTATTTTTTCGCGTCTATTAAGGGGGACTTCCGCAGCGCCGCTTAACGCCCGATGTAATTTTGATTTTTTTCCCGCATTTCTGTTCTCGTCGTCAAAGTGACAAACTTGTTTAGATTACTAATAACTGTCTTGACTACCAGAAACCCTCTAATTCCACTGAAAACTATATTGGTGTTCAGCAAGAGGACGGTAATACCGAGGCGGAAAGAAATTTAGAGAATATTAAGTTTGAGTTTGAGAAATATGTTGACGTGGGGTTGTGGCCGGAATTGCTAAATAATGATTTTATTAATGACATACTCTCACATGAAATGACTTACTTTTAAAATAAAGATCGGAAAAATATATATTCAGCTTCAATAAAGAAATACAAAGAACAAAACAGAACATTTTCAAATAGGTTTTTCATTAAGAAAATGAAAAATGGTCAATCACTGGAAAGATTTTGGTTATGTTATTCAACCAGGGTTGGTACTGTTTTGTTTGACTTGCAAACTTTTTTCTAAAATCCCTTCTCAATACACAACCGGATTTAAAAGAGACACACTAAACGTTGCGTTGGATAAGCTGATTATGGATTTAAACAAAAGGAGCCAAGTCTATGAGATGTATAGTAAGAAATTCAAATTTTTAATGGATTTGCTAGACAAAAATATGGAAAACATAGGTCTGGAAAGTGTACGTAATAATGACGTAGATGACGTAGACGAGCATTTAGTGAATGTATGCATTCGGTTAAAATCTTATTTACTTCAGTCTAAGCCAGAGTCTTACACCTCTTGCAGTGAAATTTTTATGCTAATTTATGAAAAGAAATTTGTTGATGTTTTCCCAAATTGCTACACTATCTTAAGGATTTTTTTAACTTTGCCAATCACTAGCTGTGAAGCTGAGCGCTCTTTCTCCTGGATGTCATATATAGAAAACAAATATAGGACAACAATGTCGAACCATCGACTAAATCATTTATCAGTTCTTTCCATAAATTGTGATTTAACGAAGGACTTACAATTTGACGAGCAAATAAAGAAATTTGCAGTACAAAAATGCAGAAAGTTGCTTTATATGATTTATATAACATAACTATACACATAACCTGTCAATTTCTTTTGCAATAATGTTGTACAGTTGCTGCTTGTATAGACAAATAAAAATAAATATATAAAAAAGTAAATAAAATTATTTTATTGTCCTATTTTTTTCTATATACTTATCCACTTCACTATAGAAAACAGTTTTTTGACAAAATGGCTATTAGGGCCCCAAAGTAGTTTCAGGCCAGGGCCCCACAAATTCACGATCCGCCCATGTCTACGTTAGCAACTGTTCCTTCCATTATAATTCGAGTAAGCCCAGTCCGCCCAGCGTGAATTCTCTTAAGGTATACATTCTATATTCTTTCACAAAGTTTTCAATTCTTTGAGTATATATTTCTTACTTAACACGAAGTCTGCCAAGAAGCCACGTAGAACATAGACAAACTAATTATGAATCAAAGTCAGGTACACAAAACAAAAATGTATCACGGTTACAGTAAAATACATAAACAAAAATTAAATCGAAGTTAATTAAAGGACGTAGATGAGAAAGAATTATATTTCAACAAACTCGATGAGCAACACAGTGCTGTACTTAATTAACTTCACGTTAATTAACATTTAAACTTCCATGAGGAAACTTAGCTCGCTATTTCACTTCTAAGCTATCA